GGATCGTTGAGTGCGGGTGTTTTCCTGGGCTGCTTGGGGTGGCGTGTTCACCGATCCCGGAGCTTGTAGGGGTTCAATTGGAGCCCCGACGCACGTCAGGCATCCCCGTCTTCCAGGATCGTATTCTCGTTCGCCGCCTCGGCCGACCACAGAGCGCAGGCACCAGGCTCCCACGTTCTGTGTTGACGCGCTGGCGTGGCCCATGCGGCTACGGCAGAGCTGTGTTGGCTTCGAGGGCGACGCGCGTTGAGGCATCCATAATAGTTTCGTCAGGCCTGGCCTGTCCCCACAGGAGGAATATTCGAAGATAGGCGAACATAGTATGGGGATGATACTTCTACCATGTCTGAATACTCTGGAGCCTGTCTGCTTGTTTTTTGAAGTGTTGCCCAACGTCCGCCTGCAGGAGGACATGCCCGACCTCATACCAGCGCAGTTGCTCTCTTCACGCGCGTGCGCGCGGGAGTGACTGCACCCGTGCGGCAGCGAAGACGTTACTTGCAGGTGGGTCTTGGAGAGGTCGAGGTCCAGGGATCCTGGCTTTACCGAGGCCAGGATCCCGCCCTCCCCCCTCCTCCTCTTCCTCCTCCTCCTCCTCCTCGTCGTCCTCCTCCTCCTCCTCCCTCCTCCTCCTCCCTTTCCTCCTCCTCCTCCTCCTCGTCCTCTCCTCCTTCCTCCCTCCTCCTCCCTTTCCACCTCCTCCCTTTGCACCCCTCTCCTCCTCCTTCCTCCTCCTCCTCCTTATACCTACTCCCTCCTCCTCCTTCTCTCCTTCCTCCTCCCCCCTCCTCCCTCCTCCTCCTCCTCCTCCTCCTCCCCCTCCCCCCTCTCCCCTCCTCCCCCTCTCTTCCTCTGAGTCTGTTCCTCCCGCTCCCCGTCTCCTTCATCCTCCCTCCCATGCCCTCCCCTACCCTCCCTCCCGCCCTTTTCGTCATCCCTCGTCCTCGCACCCCCTCCCCTCCTCGCCCTTCCCACGCCTCCCTCGCCTCCCTCCTCTGTCCTCCCTTGCTCTCCCTCCCCCATCCCCCTCGGACCCCCGACGTCCCCCTCACCCTCTCACCACCTCAGAGTCGAGACCGATGGCAGGGATGTGCAACCCTCCCAAGGGTATCCTTGCATTCATCCCTTTTCTGGCCAATCCTTTGCTGCGGTCGATGGCCAGCCCCGCTCGAAGAACCTTGACAGGGGCGTCCAAGGCCCTCGCGCCAAAGAAGACACCACGGCACAAACGTACACCGTTGGTGTTCCGCGCCAGAAGTTGGTGTTTATGTCGTTGTATCTTCTTCCGAAGCATCCTTATCGCGCATCCTTGCTACGGTGGTGGCGTGCGTTAAGGAATGCGCCCAGGAGGCTGCAGACCCTGGAGGATTCATTACCTGATGAGCGCGGCGGTGATATCCATGGCCGATCCACGATTGGAGTTCCACCAGCTTCCAGACCCTGGATTCCTTATCGAAGAGTTCCTCGTCCAATACCCCTACCGTTTGTCGTTGATTATCCTTCCATGGCATCCTTATCGCGCATCCTTGCTGTCAGCTTTGACTTTGCAGCGCGGACGGGCGTGGACCCACGGAGGTCTCGAACCCCGTTTCCTTGGGCCTGGCCGTTCGCCCCGAGGCGTGTTTTTTTGTTCACGGCCTCGGGGGCCCTCTGAGGACGTGAGCCAGGAGGAAGAACACACACGCACATATATACAAATAAACGCCGATTCCCAGGAACATGTGGAACATCCGCGAAGTGGAGGGGAACACGAAGGTCCATAATATATATAATTATATATATACATATATATATATATATAATTATATATATACATACATACAAGACTGCATTGGCGCTTCGCGCCATGCGCTTTGCTCCAGACCCTCCCCGGTAAAGCAATACATAAAATCGCTTGCTTCAGCAGGGGGGACCTCGAAGCCTGGACGGGCGACCGGCTCATTTTTCTGATATCATTGGTTCCTGCTGACACCGCGTTCGCCCGATGCGCTTGCACGCATGTGCGCAGGAGGTGGGGGAATGATGTTTTTTCACGTTCGAAGGTCCTTTGAGGAAGTAAGGGGCGTTCTCATGACACGCCGAAGAAGTCGCACTAGCACCGAACTCATCGATTTTCGGTAGATTTCTGAATGCCTGGAAGGCTCCAGGCAGTCAGGAAATCTTCGACCGCCGAACTTCGAATCTAGATCCATTGCCTGTCTCTCTCGATCGAGGAACTTAAACCTCGAACCTCAAACGTGGAAACAAAATCGTCGGGTATCTCGATGTACTTCGTAGGAAAACGCCGTCTGGGCGTCTTGGGGACTCTTTTGGGCCGTCCTGGGGCCCTCTTGGGCCGTCCCAGGGCCTTCTTGGGCCGTCTTGGGGAGCTGGGGCCCTGCAAAGGTATTCTGAAGCCATCTAGGGCCCTCTCGGGGGCCTCCAATGGCCTTCTTGGGGGTCTCCCATGGCTTCCGTGGGTCTCTCTTGGGAGCCTTCTGGGGGCATCTTGGGCTTCTTGCGGGCAGACTCGGGGCTCTCTGGGCCAGTCTTGGGGCCTTCTTGGGCCGTCTTCAAACACTTTGGAGGGCCTCTTGGGCCGTCCTGGGGCGATATCGGGGGCCTATCGGGCCGCTCTGGGCGCTGCGACGTCCCCAACAGCGGATATGTTAAATTTATGCATTTGCCCGAGGGAATGGGGCGACGTTCGCTTCTTCGGGACTTTCTTAACAGGGTCTTGGGGCGTCTTGGGGGCCTCTTGGGCCGTCTTCAGACCATCGAGGTTCCTCTCGGAGCGCTCTGGTGCTGTCTTGGGTCTCTCTTGCGCCTCTCCGATGACCCCTCTGATCGCCTTGAGTCCGCTCGCAAGGCCCAGCAAGGCGCCCTGGGAGGCCCGGAAGGGCCAGAAAACCTTTTCCAAGGGCGTCCAGGGGGGCGCTGAAACGTCCGAAAGGGTGTCCAGGGCGTCCCCAGGGGGGGGATCCGTTTTTTTTTGGGGGTCCGTGTTATTTTAAAACAGAAGATCAGGAATATGTGTATATATATATATATATATATACACATAAGGAAATTCGTGGAGTGCTGGAATTCGTCTCTGTTTACTCGTGTGTACCGCTGGGCCCCCACTCGGTGAGAAGCGCACGTGCCCCCTCAGCTGCGGGCCGTCGTGCAGATCTCACGGCTGGCATGCTTGTTGTCCCTTCTCGGGGCTCCAGGACGATCGCGGACTGGGCGGCTCGAGGAGCCCCGAAACTCTCTTGGGCTTCGCGTGATTCAGGCGATCGCAAACATGGATCGAGGGGGCGTGGATTAGCGACGGGTCCTGTCTCCATGGGAAGCCGCGGAGTTCCGCCGCAGAGTGAGGCGGCAGCGGCCGCATTTTGGGGGGGCACCTTCCCCGATCCGTGGATTTGGCGACCGCGCGCCGAACCCATGGATCGTTAATCCATGTTGGCGCGCCCCCGAGCAATGGGTGGGCGACAGCTGGGGGGAGGGAGCAGCGAGGGCTGCAGAAAAGGGGCCCGCTGGGGCCCCTAGAGCCTAGAGGCCGAGGGAGGAGGAGGGAGGAGGAGGGAGAAGGAGGGAGGAGGAGGGAGGAGGGAGGAGGAGGGAGGAGGGAGGAGGAGGGAGGAGGGAGGAGGGAAGAGGGAGGATCGACCCGTGGGCCCCCCCCCGACACCTGGCGAAAACGCAAAACGCCCGCTGTGCAGCAAAACCTGCAACGCGCCAGGATCTCGGGGGCTTCTCGACTCGGCTAGACGTAAGAGTGACCTTTTCGCTAGAGTGACCTAGGATGTGGGCACAAGCGGGTCCCCCGACCGCGGAACGCGAAGCGGTAGCAGCAGCTTGCGCGCTTGGGTTTGGCCACCCCGCGTCCCCCGTGAAGCCTCCCCCGTGAAGCCTCGCTCCGAGCCCGGCGCCGAGCGAGGCCCAAAAAGGGGAAATCGAGAAAGATGGAAAAGGGTATGTGTACCTTTCCCAGGCATGCGGCGCGTTTGTGTTTGCAATACGGGGTCCCCGGAAGTCCCGACCCTTTCCCCGGGACCGGTTTTTCATCCTGCGTCGATGTTTGACGGGCCCGAGTCCCGGCGAGGGCCCCCTGAGGCCGAAGATGGCCAAAAGCCTTCCGTCCTGATATTTTTACGACGCGAGCATGTCTGGGCCTCCGAGAGGAGGATGAGGAGGAGGAGGAGGAGGACGAAGACGAGCATGAGGAGGGAGTAATGAGGAGGAGGAGGAGGAGGAGGAGGAGGAGGAGGAGGAGGAGGAGGACGAAGACGAGCATGAGGAGGGAGGCATGAGGAGGAGGAGGAGGAGGAGGAGGAGGAGGAGGAGGAGGAGGAGCTCCAAACCTCACACGATGCGTCATCGCGTCTGGGGAGGTGCCTCCCGCCCACGCCGTCGCCTCCTGCGTGGGGCCGACACCGCTTCGGCCTGGCTCCGGCCCGCCGGCTCTCCGCCTCTGTGGCGCCACAGGTCACCACCCACCGGATACCAACCTGACCCAACCCGAAGGCCTCAGTTTGCCTTCCATTTACAGTGTGTGTGTGGGGGGGAACATGGAGATGCACACATCTGGAGCCCGTACCCATCGGTCGTTGAGAGTATGTAGTTTTGGATCCCCAGATTCCAATCTACTTTGAGCGCCTTCCTACTTCAGCGATCGAGTGGCTTCCCCATTTCCGTCCTCCTCAGGGGGCGGACGGAACCCAATTTGCTACTACTTCACATGTTTCTACCTGCTTCTTCCGACTGATGGGCACCCGCCCCCCCAACCCGAAATTCGGGTCCTCGGGTTGGGTTGGGGTGGTCCGGAATAAATTTGACAGCAATTCACGTCATCACAGTTTGCAATGAAAACGTCATTTCTAAACTATTTTTTTTTGGGGGGGGGGCGGGCGTATTTTTTTCTTTGTGGTAGGTGGTCGACAGGCCGTCTCGGTTCGGGGGGCCGCGGCCGGCCCGGGCGGCCGCGGCGGGCTCCCCCCCCCACTTCCGGGGGGCGCGCCGCCGGAGCGCACATGGCCGCGGACGCGGCCGTGTCGCTCACCATCGCCCACGTGTTCGGCCCTCGGGGAGGAAGCAAAGAACGAGCCGAGGAGGAGGCCCAGGCATGCTCGCGTCGTGGCGACGCAAGGTCAGGACGGGCGGCGTTTGGCCGATTCCGGCCTCGGGGGCCCTCGCTGGGCCTCGGGACCGTCGAGAAACGGCTCGGGACGCAGACCCAGTCTCGGGGAAAGGGTCGGGACTTCCGGGGACTCCCGTATTGAAAACGTAAGGACGCCGCATGTCTGGGAAGGGTACCCATACCCTTTTTCATCTTTCTCGTTCTCCTGTTTTGGGGGCCTTCTGGGCGGCCGTCCCCGCCGCTGGATTGGCTTCGAACTCCTGGTCAGGAAGCACCCCAGGAGAGACTTGGGGAGCAGCGGTATCGGCACTTTTTGGTTTTCCCATGGGCGTTGCCGACACTGAAGGACGACGACGACGACGACGACGACGACGGCGGCGACGACGACGACGACGACGACGACGACGACGACGACGACGACGACGACGACGACGACGACGACGGCGGCGGCGACGACGACGACGACGACGACGACGACGACGACGACGACGACGGCGGCGGCGACGGCGACGACGGCGGCGGCGGCGACGACGACGACGAACTGAGGGCCTGCTGCAGGCAGGGGACACGGGGTGGGCGTTCGGCCCTCGAAGAGGAAGCAAACGTGGATGGACGTACACGCCGCTCGTTGAGAGCGTGCATTTTTGGAGGAGGAGGAGGACGACGACGACGAAAGAGTAGCAGGAGGGGGAGGGCAAGCAGGAGGCCGCCCAATCTGCTTTCACTGCCTTCTTGCTTCATGCTTCTACCCACTTCGTCCGACCGATGGGTAAACTTGCGGAGGTCCGCGCAAATCTATTCGAGTTTCAGCTGGAACCCCTTGGCGGCGCCTCCGGCGCCGCGCCTGGCGCGTGATCCGCCCGCAATGGCAGGGGGGGGCCTGGCGCCGATCCAAGAAATGTGCCCTAACCTGAGTAAGTTTCTTATCACTTCGTTTTGTTGATCTCTCTAGGCTCGCACTGCGGCACCGGCCTCCGCGATGCGGCCGTCTTCGGGGACGACAGCGGGTACACCATCATCAAGCCCGCCGGGCGCCACCTCACCATCACGAACACCGAGACCGGGGAGTCCACGGTCATGCCAGCGGACGAGCGGACCGAGGCTGGGGCGGGAACGGGAGAGCCCGATTGTCAGGATGGCCATGTGATGTTTTCGCGCGTCGGGTATGTTAGGGAAGCCCTTCGCAGAGGGCGGGAGGTGAGATGGAGAGGGCCTTCGGAGGAGGCGGCGGGACTTCTCAGAAGCTCTCGCGCCCTTGAGTCGAGGGAGGCTGAAGAAACTTCTCAGCACGCCCAGGGACTTCCGAGCCTTCTGAGAAGGCCCGCCTCGTCTCACTTACCCCGGGCTCGCCGCCGACATGTGGGTGTCTCACGTTGTGGGGGCGTTTCAATTGCCCGTGGAGGAACACAAGTATGGCGTTTCAGAAAGGGCCGTACCTTAGAGGGATCGATCGTCCACATCCCTCTTGGCGGAGGCCTGCGGCAGGCCAGCTGAATCAAACGGAGCCGGGTTCGCCAACCGAAGGGTGACAGAAGCCGGCGCGTATCAAAGTTGGCCTTCCAAGAGGTACAGTCATTGGAGTTCTGGGTTCAGGATTTCTGGAGTTGCGCATGTTTGTTGTTACATCGCAGGGGTGTTGCGAGTGGGGGGGCTCTGGCCAAAGGTGACCACGATTTTCCTGAGGGGGCACTCGTGGCCTCCAGAGGATCCCTCATCAGGGCCACAGGGCCCCGGAGGGCCCGAGTGGTGAGGTACAATGGGAAGGTGGGCCAGCTCCGCAGCTGGCAACGTTCGAGTGCTGGTGTGACGGGCAGTGGGTTGCTAATGGCTAACCGCGAAGGCTCTTTCTTGTTGAGGACCCCTCCCCAGACTCGGCGGGGAATAGAAACTCATCCCTCCTCCTCCTTCCCCTCCCTCCTGCTTCCCCTCCCTCCTCCTCCTCCAGCTCCTCATCAGAAACCTGTCTTCTTCGTCCACAGCAGAAGCATGTGGGGCCACAGCAGAAGCAGGCGGGGCACTATCGAGTGCAGTAGTCGTATGAGCGATGACGACGACGGCGGCGGCGAGGACTGTGGCGGAGGCCTGTGCGGTGGCCGCCGCAATTATCGCTGGGGTCCCGTCAACAAGCCCGCGGAACAATCAATCAGCTTCCCATGATTGCCCGGGGGTTTATTGAAGACCCGTCGGGGCTACCTGCCGAGGGCGTAACGGCCTGCGCGATCTCGAGGGACAGGAAGTTCTTCGCGGTCTGCGAGCGACAGACTGGCGAGGTGCACCACGCGCTGTCCGTGGCCATCCACGACCTCCGAACCGTTTCGGTGCGGAGTAGGATCTCAGGGCAGAAAGAAGTGCCGAGACCGACGCCATTCCCTTGTATTCGCCTCTTTGGGGCCTTCCGGAGGGGGGGGGGCTCACCACCACGGTCAGGGGGCCAGAGACAGGGTAACACTAGACGGGGTAACAGGAAACGGCCTGTTCGAGGCATCAAATGGCCCTTTTGTTGCAGTGCAGTTTTCTTTGGCGTTCGCGTTCGATGCAGCACCTTCCACATGCTGGCTGCGTTGCACATTTTTGGCTGCTGCACTGCAATTTTTTGTTTTGGGCCCTCTGTTATCCGGTCTGTGGGGCTTGTTTGCAGTTATTCTGCAAATAGTTGCCAACACATTGCAGTGCAGTTTTTGTTTGTTCTGGTCGTTGCAGTTTTTCCACCTGGATCCCATGGTGGGTCTGTTACCCAGTTCAGGCGTTACCCAGTTTAGTGCTCCCTGACACAGTTGAATTCGCCTTGGGATCTTTGTCAGAACGCCCCTAGGGAGGTTGGGGGATCAGCGGTAATCATTGACATCTTGGCGCAGTTCCTCCAAGGATCGACCCTTTCGGCACCACCTTCCCGCGCATCGTCGCGCTGGCCTTCGGCCCTGTGCAGGGAGACGGTGCACCGCTGCTCTGCGCGGTCTCCAGCGGTCAGGAGCCCACGGTGTCCGTGATGGACTGGCTTGGTGGCAGGGTGCTGGCCAGGCACAAGGTGCAGGGCCCCGTCGAGAGATTGGCATGGTCGCCGCAGGCGGATGCCTGCATGCTCTCTTTCTCGACCTCGCGCTCGATCAACCTGCTGTCGCTTCGCGATCTCAACGCCAAGGCGCCCCGAACTCCATACCTGAAGGAGCACGGGTCGTTCGGCGGCCTCGACGAGAAAACCCTCAGAATAACGGACCACGCCTGGATCGAGCCTGGGGACGGTAGGCTCGTGGTCTGCGCCTCCGAGGGCACGATCTACGTCCTGAGCAGTCTCGACATGATCGTTGTACTGACGAAGCCTGCGGCCTTCGGCCTGGGCGTGACGTGCATGCCGATCTGTGTGCGGTGCTTCTCGCAGGGCTTCTTGATTGGCGGCAGCGAGGGTCGGGTCGCCATCTGGGAGAAGGTGGACAGCGGGAGCGATCAGCAGGAGACCAGCCTGGAGCTGAACCACCGCCGCACCGTCAAGGCTGGAAAGGCGGACGCGGCGATCGCCTGCATGGACATCGCCGGGGCAGAGGAGAGCGTGCTGCTGGGCTTCCGCGATGCCGACATTGGGATTCTCAAATTCTCCTCCCTGTACGCCCAAGACAAGGAGGTCGCCGAGTGCTCAATCTTAAACGGCGGTAATCATTCAGGGCCAGTCACGTGCCTTGACACGGCGGCCCAGCGTCCCCTCGTTCTCTCGTTGTGCCGCAAGGACTGCTCGGTAAGGCTTTGGAATTACACGACGTGGCAGTGTGAGTTCTGTTGGCGGTCGCCGACGGATACACCCAACGCCATAGCCTTGCACCCGTTTGGTTATTTCGCGGCAGTCGCGCTCAGCGAACAGCTTCGCTGTTTCTATGTCGCCTCCACCGAGCTGAAGCCCCATTGTAGCGTGGAAATGGCCGACGTACATCTGCTCAGATTCTCCAACGGCGGGCACCTTCTCGTGGCTGGCCAGGGGAACCTCGTCCATGTTTTCAGCACGCACGTCGTGAGGCTCATCGCCACGCTGGAGGGGCACGCCGAAACGGTCAGCTCGCTATGCTTCGACCCAGAGGACCACTCGCTGTGGAGCTGCGACGCCGGCGGCGTGCTGATGGAGTGGGACACCCAGGACTGGGAGCGCCTGGGCCAGCACGCCCACGCCGCCTGCGAGTACCAGGCCGCCTCCTCGTGCGCGGGGGGCACGGTGGCCTGCGCGGGCCTCCAGGGCGGCAGGGGCGTCGTGCGGCGCTTCAAGCACGGGGCCGTGTCCCAGGAGCGGTGGCTCGGCAAGGACCTGCGGCCGAGCGCCATCTGCCAGTACGCGGGCAGCGGCGCCGCCTTCGTGGCCACCGCCGCGGGCAGCGTGCTCACGTGCCTGCCGGGCGCGGCGGCGCACGCGCCCGCCGCCCTGGGCCTCCACTCCGGCAGGTGCCTGGCGGCCTGCCTCTCGGCGGACGGGCGCACGCTCGTGACCGCCGGGGAGGACGGCGCGATCTTCGTGCTCAACGTCCACGGCCTCGTGCAGGGGGACGGCAGCGAGCAGCGGCCCGGGGACATGGAGGCGTCGCGCGCACAGGGCGTGCCCAGCGCGGACGTCATGCTCGTCAACCGGGCGTACATCCAGCAGCTGCAGCACCGGTGCGACCAGCTGAGGGCCGCGAACGCCGCCCTGCGGGCCCGGCAGGTGCGCGAGAAGCAGCAGCTGGAGGACGAGTGCGACGTCCTCCTCCGCAGTGCCCGGGCGCAGGACCAGGCGGAGATCGCGGAGCTGACCAGGCGCTGCTCGGCGCTGAAGCTGGCGTCCGAGGCGAAGGAGAGGGAGAGCAAGCGGATCGTGAACGAGATGGAGTCGACGCACGCCCAAGCTGCAGAGCAGCTCGAGCACCTCTACCGGAAGTCGGGGGCGGCTAATCTAGGCCTCCTAGATGGTGTCCGAGTAGATGGGGTCAGAGGATCGCGCCGCATCGCCGATGCATCGCCGACGTCGCCGATGCATCGCCGATGCATCGTCGATTCATCGCCGATGCATCGGCGATGCGGAGCGATCCTCCGACCATATCTACTCCGACCCCATCTAGCAGGCCTCTAGCTAAGAGAGTGGTGATAACTGGGAGCAGCTGGACATCATGGCCTCGGCCATGCGCTCCTCTCCCCAGATTCCGTTGCCCTCTCGTCTCGATTCAAAAGCCTCCCGTGCCCCCCCCCCCTGGGGCCACGCCAGTGCCACGGGCCATGATGTGAGGGCCCCCCTCTTTGGCGCCCTCGAGGAAGAAGCTGGAGTTCGAGGCGGAGCGGTTCGTGATGCTGGATGCGTCCAGGGCTCGTGCGCTCCAGACCATTCAGGAGGGAAAGAAACACGCAGACACAAAGAATCGTATAGTCCATATGGGAAACTATGGGAAACGGGGGAGAAGACGCAAATCAAAAAAATATGAGAAACAACTGGGAATCCTGGGATTCGTGTGTACTTATTCAATCGCTTCGCTCATTCCGCCGGCCCATGTTGCATGATCCCTACTGCTTCGCCGTGGGCCCGGGGCCATTGTGGCGCCGCCGAGGAGGAAGAAGATGAGGATGGGGAAGGGGAGAGAAGGAGGAGGAGAGGATGAGAAGGAGAGGAGGAGGATGAAGACAGGTAGGAGGAGGTGGAGGAGGAGGAGGAGGAGGAGGAGGAAGAGGAAGGGGTGGAGGAGGAAGCCTCTCGTTGGTATATTGTATGGTTGTTGGGGTTAAACAGGGTCGTCGTCAAGATGCTTCTTTGGGAGGCCTATTGGGGTCTTTTGAGAAGCCGTTCAGGGGGCGCCTGGGAGGCATTTTTGAAGCCTTCTGGGGGGCCTCCTGGGGGCCTCCTGGGGCCTCTTGGGGGCCTCTTGGCGCCATCTTGGGCCCTCTTGGGGGCCTCTCGGGGCCTCCTGGGGCCCTCTTGGGGCGGAAGACGCGAGGTTTCGGTTCGTGGTCCCCCTCTTGGGCCCCTCTTGGGGCCGTCTTGGGGCCGTCTTGGGCCGTCTTGGGCGCCTCTTGGGCCGTCACGGGGCCCTCTTGGGGCCCTCTTGGAAGCCTCTTGGCCCGTCTTGGGGCGCTCTTGGGGGCCTCTTGGGCCGTCTTGGAGCATCGGATGGCCGAAAAGGGGACAAGGCCCAAATCCTTCCAAAACCATAGTAAAATGTATGATTTTGGGCTCTCGGGGCCCTCTTGTGAGGCCTCTTGGAGGCCACTTGGAGGCCTCTTGGGCCGTCTTGGCGTCTTGGAGCGCTCTTTGGGCGTCTCGGGGGCCCTTTGGGCAGTCTTGAGGGCCTCTTGAGGGACTCTTGGCGCGCTCTGGGGGGCCTGAGAAGCCACACCCAGGAGGAAAACCATCTCTGGGTAGCAGTGGTCGGGCTGCGGTCGGGGTACTTTTCGCCGGGGGGGCTCCCAGGGGCCGCCCCGCGCGCGCGAACTAGAAATATTGTTAACCAGTTACCGGATATCTTAGCACATCTCTGGCCCGTTGGGCCGGCGAATTTGTGCGTCCCTGGGCCACTTCACCCATGGAGGACGTGAAGTCCAAGTTGGCGGCGACCATCAGGGAAGAGGAGGAGCGTGACGAGGAGCTGCTGAAGCAGCGGCTGGCCGAGAAGGACGCAGAGATCGAGAAGCACAAGGGCCTGCTGGCATTCACTCAGAAGCGCTTCGACACGATGATCGACCGGCAGGGACTGGAGCATGAGCAGGGAATCAATCGGGTGAGGCTCGAACACATGAAGGAGCGTGATTGTCAGAAGGGGACCGAGACGCAGCTGAGAACCGAGCACGCCACCTTGGTGAGGGGGCTAGAGTTCTTCGAGCGAGACTTCCAGCGCATCGAGATGGAGCAGAGCGCTTCGAGAGATGAAATCAGGAAGTTGAAGGAGCAGTCTGAGGAGTTGTCGAAGTTGCATGGGAAGCTGAGCGCAGAGCGGGCGGAGCGTGTGACTCTCTTGTCCGAGAAGGAGCGGAAGATCGATAGCTACAAGGAGAAGGTCAGCGTCCTCAAGAAATTCAAGCAGCACCTGGATCAGAAGTGCAACGAAGCAATGGAGCTGAACCAGCCGAAGGACGCCAAGATCGAGCAGCTGAACGCCGATCTGGGGGAGCTGGAGGCGGAGTTCGAGGTTCAGCTGCTCGAGCAGCGGAACCTCAAGGACGTCATCGACGCGAAGAAGCAGCACGCCCGGCACCTGACGTGCGAGCTCGAGAAGCTCCGCGGCGAGATCCGCGAGCGCGACCGCACCATAGCCTCCTACTCGAACGACCTCCACAAGCTCGTGAGCTCCGGGGGGGACGAGAGCACGTGGCCGCACGAGATCCGGCGGCTGTACCACGTGCACGCCCTGGGCGAAGGCCTGCAGAACAGCGAGAAGCTGCCCGTCGAGGAGATGCAGCGCGAGATGCGGCAGGTGGAGCGCAAGGTGAGCTCGCTCGCGAACAAGGGCGGGCACATGAAGGGCGTCATCAAGGCGCCGTCCGCGACCCGTGGCTGCGCCGCCCCTGCCCCTCCTCCTCCCTCGAGCCTCCCTCCGTCAGCCTCCTCCCTCCTCCCCGGTGGCACGGGGGCACCAGATGGAGGAGGAGGAGGAGGAGGAGGAGGAGGAGGAGGAGGAGGAGGAGGGGGCTGAGGAGGTTGGGGAGGAGGTGGAGGAGGAGGTGGAGGACCGTGCCCGATACGGGGAACGGAGGAGGTGACCTCTCAGCACTGAGTTGCTGGGCGAAGAGCATCTTCCACCGCCGTATGGAGCAAAGCCGAAGGCACCGCCAGGGGGCCATCTTCAGCGAGAAGTTCCACGATGCCTCCCCGAGCTGAAGACTGGAGATGTCTCGAGCTGGAAGCCGCAAAGCAGGGGGGGCACATCGCCAGGAGGTCACACATTCTCAGCTTCTCGTGATGTTTTCTGTCGCGGTGGTGCCTGTTCTGTTTGCTCCTTTTCCGTCTCCTCCTGACCCGTGCTGGAGTTGCAGCAAGCACGCCGACAAAAGAACGTGCCTGCCAGCGGGTGCCCCATGACGGCGTGTCATTCCCAGATGGGCCCAGGGCCCTCTGAGGCACCTTGCGGAGCTGAAGGTGGACGACTGATGTGCCGCTAGGCTTCGTGCAGCCATTTTTCTTCGCGTGTGTACCTACTCTAAGGCGGGGGACAAGCAAATAACAATTGCAAAGGTCCGCGCGGATTTCTTGGCGGCGTTGGACACTTCTCCCTGGCACGCGGACCGCCACAGGGGTGGCGCCGGAGGCGCCGCCAGGGATCGCCTGCGACTTTTCGAGGAATTCGCGCGGACCTCAGAGCATTTACAGCCGGACCGAGGTATAAGATCGAAGACGGTTCGGGGAGGGTGCCCTAGTGATCTTCGTGTTTGTTGGATGTTGTTGTGCATCTTTGGGAGGGTACCTTTGGATGTTCTGTCTGTTTTGGCCGACAGAGGGTCTCATGTTCTTGAGGGACACTCTTCTGGTCTCGGTCCGACTGTATGATTGTGCCATTGGGTCATTGTTTGTCCCCCTGGCACCTACTGTAGGAGGATGCCTCCCGACTGAGCCAGAGCCCCCGCGGGATCCAGGCGGACATCCAGCGGAAGGCGCAGGAGGGCGCCGAGCTCACCCGGGAGCTGAACGAGCTTCGGGTGCAGAAGAAGTCCCTGCAGCGGGAGGCCCCTCCCTCCTGTTCCCGCTCCTCCTCCCCCCTCCCTCCCTTCCCCAAATTCCTCCTATTCCTCATCGCGGTTCCCCCCCCTCCTCCTCCTCCTCCTCCTCCTCCTCCTCTTCCTTCTCCTCCGCCTCCTTCTCCTCCTCCTCCTCCTCCTCCGCCTCCTCCCTCCCGTTCCTCATCTTCTGATGCCTCCTTCCCCGTCCTTCTTCGGTTCTGGTTGTGTCGGGGCCGCGTCTCGTCCACATTTTCGCCCCGCCACCACTACCAGCCACCCTGCAACCCCGTGCTTCTCCTCAGCACCCTCCTCCCCATGACTCCCCCCCCCGCACCTTCCGCTCGTCCCCCTCCTGCCCCATCGTCCCCCCCTTCATTCCTCCTTCCAGACGGGGCGGGAGGACAGGGGCGGGGGAGACGGAGTAGCAGCAGAAGGAGGCGGAGGAGGAGGAGGAGGAGGAGGAGGAGGAGGAGGAGAGAGGCGGTTGAGTAGGCGGTGCGGGGGGGCGCCGGGGAGCAGGAGAAGAGGGAGGGGGCTTCCCCTCCAAATCCTGCCCTTCCTCTTCCTCTTCCACCCCTCTCCCTCCTCTTCTTTCTCTTCTCTCCTCTCCTCTCCTCTCCTCACCTCTCCTCTCTCTCTCTCTCTCCCTCTCTCCTGGAGTAGTAACTGTAGTGGCTTCAGTAGCAGGAGTGGCACAACACTTGTTATTACAATAGTTGTTGGTTATGTTGTACGCTGTGCGAGTAGCAGCAGTAAGATGGCACAGCAGCTGCTGCCGTAGCGCGGCGGGTATAGTAGCAGCGGCAGTGGCAGTGGGGCAGCTCACGTTGTAGTCGTGTTTTTGCTGCAGTCGCAGTCGTATAGTAGCAGCGGCAGTGGCAGCAGCAGACAGACGAGAAGCCTCCTCCTCCTCCTCCTCCTCCTCCTCCTCCTCCTCCTCCTCCTCGGGGAGAGGAGCCCCGATCCCCGCACCCCCCGCCCGAGGTGCGCAGCCTGGAGCAGCGCGTGGCGCTGATGGAGCAGCCCTCGGAGGCGCACCCGGCGATCGAGGAGGGCCCTTCCTATACCCTCCCCCGCTCCCCAGGCCTCGGGAAGGATCGAGGAAAGAATCGAGGGGAGGATCGAGGGGAGGATCGAGGGAAGGATCGAGGGGAAGATCGAGGATCGAGGAGAGGATCGAGGGAAAGATCGAGGGAAGGATCGAGGGAAAGGATCGAGGGGAGGATGTCCGGAGGCATCCGCAGTTCCAGGCCTCTTGAGGCCAGGGGGACATCTCTGGAGGCCCGCCTCCTTCTCTTCCTCCTCCTTGGGAGTGGGCACTGGGTCTCCGCTGGCGCCAGCCCCTGGCTGCCAGAGCCACGGCGGCCAGCAGCAGCAGCAGCCGCATCCATAGCTTCCGGGGTCTGGCGAGAAGGCCTCCCTCCGCCCACTGGTCACGCACCGTACCGCGCTGGCGGCTCTCGAGTCGCCGTCGATCCTCGACTCAGGAATGGCACGGTGGTGCGGCGCATGGGGTCGCTCGGCCCTCAGAGCTGCACAACTTCCACACCTTGCACCGTGCCCAAGGAGGGCACGGTGCACGAGCTGGGGAAGCCCAGGGGTCCCGATGCCGCTACTCCTTGGAGCTTTTCTGGAGTGCGTCCGGACCAGCAATTCCGAGGCACGTTCAGCGGTGGCGACGGGGGCCTCTCAGGAGGCCCAAAAAGGCGAAAAGGAGGCCGGGGTAGCGGTATCGGGACTCCCGGGACGGCCGCGAGCCCGTCAGCCTCTGCAGCGCCTTTGCAGCGCAGCAGGCAGCGCTGGGCGACCAGCTCCCCCTCCAGGCTGGGTGTGCCTGTGTGCAGGAGGACGAGGAGGAGGAGGGGGAGGAGGAGGAGGAGGAGGAGGAGCAGGAGTAGGAGGAGGAGGAGGAGAAGGAGGAGGAGGAGGAGGAGGAGGAGGAGGAGGAGGAAGACGAGAAGGCCGAGGACTTGTTCCTCCTCCGAGGACGGCACCGAGCGCCCCGAGGGCGGCTCGCTGCCGGCGCTGCGGGCGTGCCCGCCGCCAGCGCGCCCGGGCGGGGTCCCGCAGCCCCTGCCGCCCAGCGGGGGCGCGCCGCCTGGACCGCGGCAGCAGAGCGCGTCCCCGGTGCGGCATCTGCAGGAGGACCCGACGCCGCCGGCGAGCACTTCCTCCTCCTCTTCCTCCTCCTCCTCCTCGTCCTCCTTCCTCCTCCTCCTCCTCTCCCCCTCCTCCTCCTCCTCCTCCTCTTCCCCTCCTCCTCCCCCTCCTCCTCCTTCCCCTCCTCCTCCTCTTTCCTCCTCCTCCTCCTTTTCCTCTCCCCCTCCTCCTCCTCCTCGCTCCTCCTCCTCCTCCTCCTCCTCCTCCTCCTCCTCCTCCTCTCCTCCTCCTCCCCCCTCCTCCTCCTGCTCCTCCTTCTCCTCCTCCCCTCCTCCTCCTTCGCCTCCTCATCCTCCTCCTCTTCTCCTCTCCTCCTCCTCTCCCCTCTTCCTCCTCCTCCTCCTCGCTTCCTCCTCCTCCTCCTCCTTCTCCTCCTCCTCCTCCTCCTCACGCTGCTAATCCGTCCCCACGTGCCACCCCCTGCAGAGGGCACAACACAGCGCTGTCAAATTTGGCGCAGAACCCTCGCAACCACAAGGTGCAATTGTCAAATTACACCCTCGGGGTAGTATTCATCTGTAGCCAGTGCGGCGCATACACCGAGTCTGGCGATCTCAAAGGTCTCGGCAAAGATTTCCCCACTCGTTTTACTTTGCCTGGCACCAAGCACGCCTGGCAGCGTTTCTCAAGAGGGCAACACCCGAACCACAAGCTCGGCCCAGCAAAGTGTCTGGACGAGTATATGCCCTTGTCAGCAGTGCTTACGCCGTAAGTTCACATTCCACTCTCGCTGCGTAACCAGATCTGGGGGCGGAGGGGGAACTGAGGGGGAGGTATATCGTCTGGGTGGCCTACGCAGAGGCAATACACGCTGCTTCGGCAGTCTGCGTGGCGCAAGCGCGCGTTTCGGCACAAAGCGGCATTGCGCACTACAACCTGGGGCCATTGCGATAAAAAAAGGAGTGCCATCTGCCCGGCCGGATTGACCAGCCCAGGCGTCCCCTCCGTTGCATACATGTCACTGTATCGGCGGTGGCTCGTTCCCGTCCCGTTCCGTCCTTCCAATGGCGCGGCCTATGTATTCCAGCCCGCACGGCGTTTGTTGCTTTCTCTATATATATTGATCGTGCGTTGGGACTCGTCCTCACCACGCTGCTATGCCATGCGATGTACTTCACGATTGCACATCGATTAATTCATCCGTGTGCTGCCACACGGCCAAAAATAGACGCATGGGCCGGTTCCGAACGGATGGGCCGGTACACCCAAAATCGTATGCTCACACAAGCTGTGCTATGAATTACCATTACGCGAGATCCCACGTCCATATCTGATCCTCACTAACTCCCCACGCTACTTGGCATTTACCCGCGACGGCCTGGTCGACTTGGCTCTGTCCCAGCCGAGTGACCGAAGAGGTCGGCAGCGCCTACGGCAAGGCTCTACCCAACCCGCCCCTCCCCCGTCCATTTGCTGGGCGCCATTTTCTTATGCCGTCTTACTACTGCTTCCGTCCCTGCTTCCTTTGTCCTCTGTCTTCCCTGTTGCCCGCTCCCTCCTTCACATGAGATTCGCTCCACACCTTTATCTGTTCGCCCGCTTCCATGCACGCTGTCATCCTGAGCCAAGCGTTTATCACTAGCCTTCAAAGGCCTGGAAGCTGGGGCGCCACAGCCACCCCTTCATCCGTTTCTCCACCACAGCGACCCCATCTTGCCCGGCCTCGCTGTGGTCCCGTTTCCCCTGTTGTCTCTTTGTTATTGCTTCCAGCTTGCTCTCTTTCTCTTTCTCTCTCCCTCTCTTCTTCTCTCTCTCTCTCGCTGTGTGCCTTGCTCCTGGTCCTCTTCCTCCTGCTCCTCCTTCTCCCCCTCCTCCTCTTTTCCTGCCTCTTTCTTCCATGCCCGTTGCCCCATCATCCATGACCATCCGGCTACCCCAATGATGGGCACCCGACAGTGCCGCTTCATATTTGAACCCGCTGATCCCATTGCCGCTTTCACTTTATCTGTCGGGCCACTCGTCCATCTTGCATTCGGTCCTAACGGGTGTGCAATTAGACCATTTCCGGATTCCCATCGAACCTGGAGGGCATTTCATCAGGCACGGCCCGGCTCCCCCTTCTCGCGAAAGCGTGTCACGGCGTGCCGCCCCCGTGGCATTTACCACGCTGTGCGTGGCTCGCCCGTGCATCCGCCCGCGGAATGACGTTCAGGGCCGTTCAACACTCTAATACGCATGTGTTTCGCCCACGTTTCCGCCCATGGAATGCCCTCCAGTAGCCTCTCAACAGGCCGCCCAACCCTTACACTTGCGTGTGTGGCTCGCCCATTGATCAGCCCATGGAATGCCCTTCAGGGCCGTCCAACACTCAAACCAAGATACAAGGGCGACGGTCGGGCGAGGTAGCTTGCGCCACATTATCACCCGTACCTTGTGCGACTTCGCATACCGTTACTTGTGGCGCGGTTATCTTGCAACCCCAAATCGGGTGTCCAAGCTTCGCGTCTACTCCCCCGTGCCACTCTCTCATATTTTTCTCTGGTCGCTTGGACAGCGGGCGACCCATTCTTGAGCCCAGTGAACCGCTCGGCTCACAGGCGGGGAGTTGCACGCATCCCTGCGCTCCTGAACTCGATTTCGCCGTCCCCATCTTCTCGTACATTCTCGATTCGGTCTTCGCTGTCTGATGCGTGCTTCCTGCTGCTGACTTGTTCCTTCTATCGGTCTCACTATCGTTCTAATTTCCTCTGCGATGTCACCCTGTGCAAATATAGTCGGGGGTTATCCCGCCAGCGTCAGCTGCTGTGATTCGCGCCCCAGATTGTGAGTGACGGCCAGCGCTACAGAGGTAAGCGCGTCAGATGCTTGTTCCCTAGCGTTGCGTTTCATCCAGATGCTAGTTCCCCAGCGTTGCGTTTGGGAAAGTGCAGGCCTCGATCCTCCGGCTGGTCGGCCGCTGGGCGTTTCCAGAAACCCGATTCTCCGGCCGGTCGATAGCGGATGGGTCGGCGCGCCGGTTTTTTATCCGACTTAAATGCATTGTATGATTTGTTTCCACGGTGTTGCATAGTGTGCCGCATTGTACTAGATCAGAACCTCATCCCCCCCCAACCTATGTGTCATCCATCATCGCACTCCTCTCCGCTTCCCGATATCCCACCTGCCTTCCCACCCCAGGCTTTCGCTGGAGACCCCAGCGCACTCGCCCAACTGACGACCATTTCATTCCCATTGCGTGCCCGAGCAGGCAAACCCACTCCCAAAGGGTCCCACCACCGGACACAGGTGTCTCTCGAAAGGCGGCCGTCTTTTCGGCGCCCTCGGACAGAGGCAGCACGCGAGCACCTTTCGGTTGGTGGCTGCATCAGACACCACCGAGAAGTAACGCCCCTTACGGTACCAACTCGCACAGGGGCCAGCCACCCTCAAGGCTGTGTAATCCGCCAGCATCCTCCTCCTCCTCCTCCTCCTCCTCCTCCTCCTCTCTCCTCTCTCCTCCTCTCCTCCTCCCTCCTCCTCCTCCTCCTCCTCCTCCTCCTCCTCTCCTTCTCCTCCTCCTCCTCCTCTCCTCCTCCTCCTCCTCCTCTCCTTCCCTCCTCCTCCTCCTCCTCCTCCTGCCCCTGCTGTCCTCCTCCTCCTCCTCCTCCTCCTCCTCCTCCCTCCTCCTTCCCTCCTCCTCCCTCCTCCTCCTCCTCCTCCTGCTCCTCCCCCTCCTCCTCCTCTTCCTCCTCCTCCTCCTCCTCCCCTTTCTCCTCCTCATCCCCCTCCTCCTCCTCATCCTCCTCCTCCTTCTCTTCCTCCTCGGCGGTCCGGGCGCCTGGCTTTTCTGTCCCCAGGCGTGATGGCGTCGTAAAACATCATGGCGCAAGGTTTTTGGCCAGTTTCGGCCCCGGTGGGGCCCTCGCCGGGTCTCGGGAGCGTCAAGCGACGACTCAGGACGCAGAACCAGTCCCGGGGATCGGTTCGGGACTTCCAAGGACCCCGTCCTGAAAAAAATCAGGACGTCGCATGTCTGGGGATCGGGTCCGAGTAGATGGGGTCGGAGGATCGCGCCGCATCGCCGATGCATCGCCGATGCGGCTCGATGTGCAGGGTCGGTTTGCTTCGCGTCGACGTCGTCGATGTGCCGACGACGTCGACGATGCAT